ACCGCCAATTTACATGGGTCTCAAAATGAGAAGGGTGCATGCCCCTCTCCTGGGGAGATGCAGCAGTACACGGTGTGCACTGCTCACGCTTCGGTTGATTCTCAGAGGGCTGAACTGGGACTTCCAATGCTAGAAAGCTAAGTGGGTACAAATCACTGTAACTGCGAGCTGAAGAAAAGTTGTTAACAACTACTGTTCCTTGCAGAGAACAAAAAGACTCAAAAAGACCCAGTACAGACAGACAAAAATTCACCCTTTGCTCCAGCTACCTTTTACCAAAGCTTATGTGTAAAACTGCGTACAGTTTAATCCTATTCGAATACACTTTAGTGCAAACACAACTGCTGCTGGACGTGAATCACGTTTTCTCATGTCCATCATGTCGTGGGGGGGGGGGGAAGAGGAGGGGAAAGGAAAGGTGTATCTTAACTTTTTTTCAATATTTCAAATAGAATCCCAAACAAATTAGATGGAAACTTAACTGCCTCATAAGAAAGGCCTCTAATCTACGTAGGACCATGAGCTTCCTAATCATGGCTTTTCACTGTTGAACTGCAAGCTGTACATTGAGGTTTGAAGGTAGTAAAACCTTCCTCAGAGGCTTTCAAGGAGAGCTCACCTCCCACCTAGATGCCATGCCATTGGCTGCCAGACTTTCAGACAATTCAACTTACTGTTATTATGCTGGAAGCTGCTAAACGTAGTCAGCCATTCTGAAAGCCTGAATCTTATTCAGGTGCCAAAATTGGGAAAAATTTCAGAGGCCATCAAGTGCAGTTAGGCGCACACCTTTCTTGCTCTGCCCCACAAGCTGGGTATCATCTGGGCAAGACGATGGCAGAAGGGGGATTTGGCCAACCTGTTAGTAGCAACATGGTCGGCAGCCTCTATCCCACTGCATACCAAGGAGCCCTGGCGCTCCTTAATGCCCTCACAGGCCCCTCTCGAATTAAGCCTCGTCTCTGTACCATCATCTTGCAACCCTACTTTCATGGACGCCTCTCTGACATGTAAGCAAGTGTTCTTTGTATCATGGAACATCTCCAATCAAATGTTCTGAAAAAACAGGTGCCAAGCATGGAGCTGAAGTCACTTCCATTGACCATTTTGGAGAAGGTAGACAGGAAGCCACAGTGAATTACTGAGCAGTTAACGTCAGCCGCATGGCTCCACCTTTTCAAGCAAAGGAGAAGGATGTATTGCTCTGGCAGTGCCTGAGAACTCAGGCTTGAGAAACGCAAGCCAACCATTCATAACAGCACTTCTTGCCCCCCTAGGCCTGCTAAAAAAACACAAACTGTGATGAAATGATTGAGGCTGGAGATAGGAATGAGTTCAGTGTGAATCATATGGCTACAAAAAGGGTATGACATGCACAGACTAGGGAGGGAAGATAGGTGTCTCACGAATTATGAGTAAAGTGGGAAAATTTAGGAAAAGTTTTAACTTAAAAAAAAGAGAGAGAGCGAGAGAGACCAAAAGCCATTAGATACATAACCTTGTAGTCTAATATGGCCATAAATTAACAGCTGCACTATATTATGTAAATTTATGTTAAATTATTCACTACCTGTCACCATATCCCCATAAAAAATCTATGTACTGACATTTGCAAAAAATGACATCTTCTGATAATAGTTTTGCTACATATTTCAGTGACTGCAATTGCCTTTTAACCATCTTGACTGCTGCTGAGGCAAACACTACTTAAACAGGGATGCTTTAGGAGGTTTAATGAATTCATTACTATTCACGGATTCACCCTCCAGGACGGCACCGTCCATGTAAGCTAGTGTCCTTAGGGCAGTTCATTTTTTCCTCTAGTTTCAGAACTTGCTGGAGAGGAGCCAGGAAGGATCGCACAGGTCCCTCCATCACTCTAGCTGAGGGCTGAAATCTGATACCCCACAAAGGCCCTGCCAGCACCGGGTTAGTGCCAAAAGTGCTGGCCACTAAACGCAGCAAGGCTGTGTTCAAGGGATGCACACCCCAGCTTGTCCTCCTCCGCCTGTAAGGAATCTAAGCAGCCCCCCCCGTTATGGAAACCTGAACCGGAGCCCTTCTGGAGACTAGATGTTTCCCAAATCACACTTGGCTTGAGACTGTCCTCCAGTTTTCCAACTGCATGCTTCTGCTGCCTACAAGTGATACGCAAGCAGGACTCCCCAGCAGTTCTGACCCCAGCGAGGAGACATGACACGCACAGACGTTATCCGCACTTGTTCTAGACAGGACGCACAAGTTGGAGAGTTGGAGAACCTGCTTGGTGTCTCGTTCTCCACAGTCTTTCAAGCAGCAAGGTCCATGCAGCTTCTTATCTGAGGCACTTAACTAAGGCATCTACATTAGAGGTGCAGTCACCTGAGGCACCCTTGATACCCAACAAGGAATGAAAAATCCCCAGGAGATCGTTCAGATCCTAGGATAGGACATATCTCCCTACAGGCATCCATCTCTAATACCCACAAAAGGAGCCACGATGTAGGCTCCTTGATGCGAGCTTCACGTAGGCTTACTCACCTCGTGCTGCAGCTCTGCAGAGACAGTGAAGCCTGAGGGGCAGCTCTGATTCCTGGCCTCCCTCTTGAAGGATGCAGGCAACCAGCTCTGGCTCAGCCCTTCAGTCAAGGACATGATCTGGCTGGTTTTACTCTCAATTTGCTAGCTGCCATCTAACATCCAGCTTATGCACAAACTGCTCTGCATGCACCCAGTAGCCATTTGTTGGAGGTGGCTGGGTGCTCTGTATGAGGCGGCACCTCTAACTGGAATTAACTAAAAGACTCCCACTGACGGCACTTTGGACCAAGCCAAGGGTAAGAAGCAAATATCTGAAGTTCACTGGAAAGAAGGCCTGTTTCTTCAGCTTCTTCCTGATAAATTTTGAGTATAAGCTAAGAGAAGAGGTAGAAGATAAAAGAGAATGCAGGTACCCTTCTATTAAATCAAAAAACATGCAAAAAACTAAAGTACTTCCAGGGCCACTGTCCCTAATTTGACCTTGCAGTTCTGCTCAAAAGCTTTAGGCCAACATTTCAGAGACAGCAGAAAGGGAAAGGGGATATAAGTTAAAGAAAGGAAGAATGGAAGGAGGGGGAGGGCAGGCGAAGGAATAAACAAGCCTTTGCGACAGCAGGAAGCTCTCTCTTAATTCTGAGATAATGAAACGCTTCTAACCAGGCCCAACTGCTGCATATTACAAGAGCCATCATCTCGTGTGGATTGCATGCAGCTTTATTTTCTACTCCCCTGCATGGACTGAACATGATTCACAGCACAGTCACAGGAAACAGTCATTACTATTTATTTGGAGAGAGATGAGTGACTGCTCTAAACAGCACCAAACTGCACCTGCGATGGTGCGGAGTATCTGTTTTATTAAGCACACCCATGCCCTCTTCTTTTCCCTTCTTCTCCTCAATATTCTCTTCACAAAGAGCATTTTATTACAGTGCTGGCAGCCTAATTCAAAAGAAAATTTGCAAATTTGCAATGATCGTTAAAGAAGATGCAAAAGCATGGCCGCAAATGCCAGCTTCAACACTTTGTGCTCTCAGAAACACCCCCACACCGCCCACACCGCCCAAACCATAGGTATACAAAGAGGCAAACTATTCATAAAGAACAGCTAGTTATAATATAATTATAATATAACACATCTGACTGGGGGTGACCCTCCTTCCCCCCTTTCTTATTTTTCTTGTGGACTGGAACCTATCAGAACGTGCCGAATTCACCCTGTTCCAGGCAATTGCAGAAAACTGCTCCTGCTCTCGACCCCCAAAGCAGCTCCTCCGCTCTCTTTACAAGACGCAGCTCGCAGCACTGCTGCAGCGATTTGTCTCCGGCTGGGCAGAGCGGTGGGCAGCCTGCTCCCGCTCCCTGCCGCTGCCCTCGCTCCTGCCGCAGTCCAGCAGCCAACGCTGCAGCCAGCCTGGCCCCCGAAGCGCTGCCCCGCGGTGATGAGGCCGCAGCTGATCGTACCTCTCCGCTCACCCCCCTGCTCCAGCAGCCTCTGCTGATGAACACCGCGGGCTCGAGTTTAAAATGCACCCATAGGAAAGTCAGAGTGCTCAAAGTGCAGTCTGTAGCCTTTATTGCCCAAGTGTATTCACCCGACGGGCTTACAAAAATGCAACACTCGCACTAGCAAAGTCCTCCTCTATTTCCTGCTGGTTGCAGGTCAAAAGTATGGAGAAGCTGAGGCCATTTCATCCCTCTGCTGTAGGTATCCGTGTCTTAAGTACCCGCACCCTGTGATGCCATTAAAAGGTTTGGGAGATTAAAAGTGTGGGTTTTCTTGTTTGTCTAACAAAATAAGGTACTTCACACAATAATGGATTGCTCTTGAAAACTAATACTCCTAATAGCAGTGAGCAGATGCACAGATTGGATTGTTTTTCTCCATAGTGAACTTGGATACTTACTTTTGTAAATTACCTTTAGCCTCCGAGATAAGCGTGGTTTCAGGACACGCTTACAAGAACATCCTCTTTCTGCGTGCTCACTCTGACACCAAATATGACTAAACACAAAGGAAGCGTGAAACTCATAAAGCAGGGAGCAGCTCAGAAGCCCAGCACCCTTATGCATGATGGATCATGGTGACAATATCAATACAAAGGAAAGAAAGAAAGAAGAGAGTGTGAAATTGGGGACAGGCAAGGGGAGGAGGGGAAGCAAAGAATTCATGGTGAGCTGTAGCCTCTTTACACCATGGCAGCGTGGTAATCACCTTGTATATCTGGCACCCAGATGCTAAAACAATTGGTATAGATAAAAAGATGGTATAGAAAAAACAAATTAATGAGCTTAATACACACACTACTAAAAGCTGCATTCGACTGGACTATAAGTTGTAAATGCTCCTAGCCGTTTTATGTCATATACTTTTCCCTAATTGGTTCTAAAAATCTCTTCACACTGCTTCTCCTGCCACCACCTAATAAAGGGTTTTTGCAAGAAAACTTGCCATCTTGAAGCAGGGTTGCACCCACTTTGGGTCTCAGCAACTCCAACCACCACCTTGAGAGGAAAAAGCAATCCTTGAAAGTAGCACGATGCGCTGCCTCCCAGCCGGGCTGAGGGCTCTGCCCCGCAACCCACAATAACAGACTTTGCCAGCTAGGGGATAAGGAAGCACTTCACTGCTGCCAAAGCATGGCAAAATAAAATAAATAAAAATTTCAAAAGCGTGTAGACATTCTGGGAGCCCTGAGAGAGGTTTTCTGTGGGATATAACTAATGTTACAACCGCAGCTAGGAGCATAAGACTAAATGACTTTCCATGACACTGTATCTAAAATCCCAAGAGAAAGTCTCATGAAACAGCTTTACAAAACAGCCTCATGATTGTCTAACCACCACGGCAGTGGTGACCGTGATCTGACGCGACGCCACTCCCAGACTAAAGCCCGCTCTCCACCGTGGCAGAGTGAGAAAGCAGTTCATTTTCCATGACCTGATTTACTTTGCTCACCACACGTTACGGCGACATTATCACGCTCAATGTGATCAATGACCCGTCTAAGCCAATACTCTATAGAAAAGTGGAAGAAACCTCATACCAGGTAGGTGAGAAATCAGCCATTCCCAGCATCAGGTCTTTCCCCCGACTCCAAAGAGAATGCCTTAAATCCCGAGGGAGGAGGACCACCGAGAGCAGCTCCGCTTACGGCACCGTTGGTTTTGCAATACAGACGCCCGCTCGCTAAGGGCCGATCTCAAACTATTATCATCTCACTTTCGCCTTCGATAGCCGTTAGTCAAGCAATATCTGGGGGCAGAGTCTCTGCTCGGTTGCAGCACGGTTCTCACAGGGTTATTCTGTAACCATATCCCCAGACCTGAGAGGCAGGTCTAATTTATTTTCGGCGGTAGCTGAGGTAAAACACGGTAAAGATCTCTAGGAGCTGTCAGCGAGCAGTGGGCAGGAGTGGGGCGCAAGGCCGGTCCGCGCTCCCTCGGCTGATGCGGGGGGAACGAGCCACCCCGGACCCCGGCAAGGGGGGGTCTTCTAGGGGGTGAGGCCACCACCACCACACCAACACGCTGAAGGTCTCAGCACCCGTCGCCCTCGCAATTCATCTCAGAGCCCGCACTTCTCAGCGCCGTCAGCGCCATGCCGACCCGCTGAGTTACTTTAAGCAAAAGTCAAGGTTTGAGGCAAAAAAATAATAATAATAAAGGACTTCTCGACATGTGAACTCTCAGCCTGGGAGCAGGGCGAGAGCTTCGAAAGACTGGTGGGTTCCCCCCTGCCCCGGTGTTTAAATGATCAATTAATAATTTCTGGAAAGCAATTCAGAAAGGGAGAGGGGGTTGATTTTCAAAACTATCAGCTTGTAAATGGAGCAGAGCCGATTCTCTGGCAACTGTTCTAACAAGGTTTCTTTTTTCACAGTATTTGTTTTATGCTTCCTAAAGATCTGTCCCTAGTCTAAATCCCAGCAGGGGGAGATGCCAGTGGAGTTTAATTACATTCCACCTATAGGGAACAGTCGAGGAACAGGGCTCGGAAAAAAATCAACTTGGACTTAAAAAAAAAAAAAAAAAAAAAGTAATCTGATTAAAGCAATGATATGAATGTGCTGTGTCTCCTAACCATAGGTTTAAAATGTTCCCTTCTTACAAGTCTCAAGGCACAGAGCCAAACTCTCTGTGGAAGCAAACAAGGAATTTATACCGCCAATTTACACCAGACATTCAGCATTTAGGCCCACAGTTTAAGTAAACAGTTACGAGAAGTGGCATTTTAAAGGGTTTCTCTATTATTTTTATTATTGGAACTATTTTCATAAACTAGACACTAGACATTTTCTGGGGTGAAAATCCTTGTGATTCAGGACAGGTTTTAGCTTGGACACGAGCTATTGTTAGCGCTTCAAAGGTTTAAAAGGGGCCCCGCGTCCCGCTGGCTGTCGCGCGCGCGTACACGGCGCACAAGGAGCCGCCTGCGCCCCTGCAGACGTCGGAGGCACATCCAGTCCCAGCGGGGAGGGTGCGCGGGAGTTTAAGACATGCACATTAAAAGCAAAAAGGGAGATTGGCAGATCCCTGCAGTCACGACACGGGAACAGCCCCTGCCTTCAGCACGAGCGCGGAGGAGAGGAAAGAAGGGCCCACAGCCTCCTCCCGCGCATCGGGAACACCCACCCGTGGGAAGTACCTTTCTCTTTAGGAAGCAGCCTGCTCCAAACGACTCCTGGGCGTTCAGCTGGGAAACCTGAACTCCTCCACCAGGCAGTGGAGGAAAAACATCGCATTCAAAGCAGAGAGGCAAAACTAGGCCTTTTCACCGTTTCGCCTTCTGCTGCTCCTAAAGCAATCACCTTCGTATTTGCAACGAGACACTCGGAGAGCAGCTCTCATCAGGGGCCGGGAACAGGGCTGCGAACCCCAGCGCGCCACTAGCTATCTAGAGTTGGGTGTTACATCCTGCTGTATACAACAGAGAGCCTTTCCACCCAACAAGCACTGAAATATTTAATCATCTGAAACGTTCAAGTGTGACAAAATTATCAATGAAACTAATTAAGAATCTTGAGATAATGAGCACTGATGACAAAATGTTCCGCTCTAGTGCCTGCCATTAGGCAGCCCGGATTTATCACATCTGCTGCTCACACAACTTGGGTCCTCAAGGAGCTCGGCGCACTCTTGCAACGCGCGCTTCCGCGTAGGCATAGTGCTGCTCAGCACCGTGATTCAAACGACTCGTGCCCGCCAGGCAACAGCCCCCAATTTCGGGGTCATACCCCAGCTTCAGGCCACCGCGCCAGAAACGCAAAGGGATACGGCGTCACAAGCAGAGAAGCTGCAAACTGCCAGCTTTTACGTTTGCCCAACCAAGTTGTATTCCTTATCAGTAAATTCTGATCACAAAGTGATCAATCACGTGGATTTCAAAATGCCTGGCCACGGGAACATGGAGATGGGGCCATACAGAGCAGGCACAGGGAGGGAAAGGTCACTGAGGCGGAGAAAAGTCACGGAGCCAGCATTTTATGCACGGGGATTTTACAGCAATTCAGGACAGGAAGTGAACCAATGTCAAGCCAACGACACTGCAGATGGGCTTTTAAGCAGCCAACATGTAAATGGAGTTTGGCAAAGATCCTGCAACTAACAGCCTTTTTTTTGTGTGTGAAAAGTGCCATTTTTAGATACAGTAGGAGAAATGTTGCCTTCTGCCTGCTCAGAACAGGTGTGCAGATGTCGAAAGAGAGTTCAGGCAAGTGCCAGGTAGTTGAGAGTTGTCACTGGGTATGTAAGCTGCCTCACACCACCTCCAAGTTTTGCAGGAGGCATATTTTACTGAGCTTTCCAACGAACTGCTTCTCTCTCAGACCCCGTCTCTCGGCTCGCTAGCTCAGCGTAGCTTGATTTTTATTTTATCTTTGTTTCTAGGCTGAGCTCTCCATGCCAGGCCAGCTCCTAAGCGAGGGAAATCGTAGCTCTCTCTGACTCACCAATGTGGCTCCTCATGAGCTGCCCACGAGACAGGTACAGCTAATCTGAAATGACGCCTGGTAACTGCAACATGTAATTTCAGACTCAAGGCACCAATTTCCCAGTCAGTTTGTAGCTACACTGTGTTACCGTAACGGGTTCTCTGCACAATTATCGCAACACTTAGTAAGTTACTCGTTTTGGAAGCAGCTAAGAAGTGTTGTAAATTATTTTCTTTTTAAAGGACGGAGGCATATTTTCCTCTATCAGAAACAAACAGAAGACTTCCTCTCCTGTCTTGTTTATTATTAATGCTTCACAAATAATAGTATTCCATCTTTCCATCTTCAGTATTAACATAGCTTTACTTTAAAAAAAAAAAAAAAGCATCAAATAGGCAAGAATTTAAAATCCAGGTGTGCGTGTGTCTTTGTGGCAACGGCGCACATCAGGCACAGGCAGTTTGAATATTTTATATTTCATAATTTTTCCCCTTAAATAATTAACCAGTTTTAACTATTTATTGTCCAGTCCTTCCAATGCTACAGATTTAACCACGTGTTACAGCTCTGACTGTTCCTGGTAAAGCTTTGCTTCCCTCAGAGCTTTGCTCTGAATCTAGACAGAATACATCCACGAGCTCTGCTGGATTTTTAACTTCAAGATTTGCGTTTCCTACACTGCTCTGAAGAGCAATGCAAATTCATTTTCTGCAGCTTTCCCTTTCTGCAGCAAAATTAAATAGCTCCATTTAATACCTTAAGTGTTCACTGGATGAACCAGTGTTCAGTCTATTATCTCTTACCATAGCAGGAGAAACCTGCCAGCTCCAGCTGGTAATGTGGGCTCATTTGACACCCTTTTTGCTTCCTGCAGTCCAGAAGTGAAGAGGTTAAAATCCCGCAGCTTGGCCTGGTTACTGTGCATCACTGACAGTAATGCTGATCCAGACCGGGAGACAGAACGTACGGCACCAGGAAAAAATTCCACCCTTTGGAGAGTACATCAAAATTAAACCCTTTCTCCCCATTGTTCACTTGAGAAAGTTCTCTCAAGACCTTTTCAAAATCCACCTACTATCAAGAACGTCCTGGTCAATATCTTCCCTCTCACAGCAAAGCCCAGTGCAGAAGGATATTTAAGTGCACATATATTTAGATGCATAAAGATGCATGTAAGTGCTTGGTAGAGCTTGCCAATGCACTGCTTAGAATTTGCATATCTGCATATGCACAGCAAGTGTCTCGCGGCTACCACATTTCTCTGTAAAGTCTCAGTGTTAGCAGGATTTAACTTACTACTTCCTTAATCTGAAATACTAAAAATAAATAATAAAAAAAAAAAGAAAACTTTTAAACTCTCGATTCGAGAGGCGTTAAACTCTCGATTCAGTTTCAAGCAATCATTCCGGAAATTAATTTTGACTTGGTGGGAATTAAGAGATTTGCAAACACTGCTTTCCTATAAAATCAAAATGCAGTCCCTTAACCCGTGTCAACACTTTCCAGCTAATTTCTCCTAGTGTATTTATAGAGCTATAGTAACAGGAAAATAATACAGTGACAAAAAGATATGACAACACTTAGAAACACTTAACTACACTAACTTGCAACGCTTGTAACAAGGGAGCACTGAGCAAGAACAGGTCTGGGAGATGAGCTTGGTAGCGCTTCATCCCGGTGGAGCGTGCTTTTAAAATACTTCATCTGCTCTGATACCCACATTTTCAAAAGGATGTTGAAAAAACTAGATGAGCCTCTGAATATAGGCACCCATATGGTTCAACTTCCTAGAACGCCTGTATTTTATAAAGAGAAATTTTAGAAACTTTCTTATAATTTTAATACAAGAAAACACTAATAGGGGATATCATCAGAGTTTGTAATTACAGTCTGCACAAGGGGGAGAAAATACCTTTGATAGACAAAGGGTCTTTAATATGCCAGCCAAAGAATGACAGAAGTTCAGGGCAATCTGTGGGCAATAAATTCAAACTGGAAACAAAGATAGCCTTTATTTATTTTAACTGAGGGATTAATTAACTAACGGAACAGATTAACCAAGTATGCGGTAAGTACACTGTTGCTTGGTAGCCCTTAAATCAGGATTGGTCATATTTCTAAAAGAAACAGAAACGCGAGGGCAGAAGCAGCAAGATTCCTTGCACGGCATTCCCAGCCGTATTTATGCATGATGTCAGGACTGGTGACTGAGACGAATCCTTACACCAGGAAGGGGGATGAAATCAGAGCCCAATTCCAAATGCTGCCAAATATGGGAAAAGTTCACATCTGAAAGTTGTGACCTGGTTCTATCTACAGTTTTCTTATAAAATCAGAGATAGGAAAGCACGCTCAGCGTTCACTCCGCACCAGGTCTCCGTGTCCTTGCATTGCTCTCTGTCTAAGCGCGCTGCTAAGGCTCCACTGATAGTAAAAGATTGATTTAAAAGACCGTTCTACAACCTAAGCAAACACTGAGCCTGGTTAATGTTACATATCATATCCTCTTGTCATTTACTGCTACTCTGCATGTTTACCATGTCTCTCACTCCCCCTCAGCACCACCCCAATTTACGGCAGAGCAGCTGGTCCTTTGGCGCTGAGTGCACAGTTGCGTCCATGAGCCCAAACTGCAGCAGTTTCTTACTTACTAACACACAGCACTGATCCCACTTAGGATCTGAAGCAAAGCAACACCCTCATAGGGCTTTAGGCCAGCTCTTTGCGGATTTCCTAAGCTACAGGTATCTCTGTATCACCACTCTGCAAGCAGAACTTCCCTCCACTATGACCCTCATTTTTAATCAGATCATCTGCATTCCTGTATCAGGATTCTGACTTCAGTCTAACACAAGATATAAAAGAAGGCAGAACAAAAAAGAACAAAACAATTGTTTCTGCTCTATTCTTAACTTTTATTAGAAAATACCTTATTTTGTATGGGTTATGCTCCTTACACCAAAGTCAGTATGCAGCATGACAAAAACATCCGTGTTCTTCCCACCTATGAAGAAAGAAAACCTACTGGAGCGTATCGTGTTTTGTCTTCTCTTTCTCTTATCCTTTTTCTGAATTGCTGGTTCCCTTTGTGTTCCTTGCCAGCAAGACAAGTATTGCTGCTTTCCAACAAGAGATATGTCTACAGAGCCTGATTCTCAATTACATCGAGGTCCTACCACGGCAGCATAAGGAAGCCTTAGCTTAGTTGCAAGTGCATGTTTAGATGTTAACAAGATCGTATCGTGAAGTAATAAGATGATGCTAATACTGCTGCAGATAAAGCTTAAGGATGATGTACACACACCTTGACAGTCCATTCCCATTACAGCAGCAGTGAAAGAGGGCATAAATGAAAACCGAGACTCAAGCTCTTAGACTGCAGTTACCCTGGATACAGTTTGTAGGATTTATATGTTTTAATTAATGCAAAATGTGCAGACAGTTCCACAATCCTATAATCTTTAAGGCAACACGTTAAGACACTTTTGCCCAACATTTCTAGAACAGCAAAACTTGCAACAATGGAACAAGGATAATTAAAAAGATTAACAAAGCACTTTGCTGCACTTGTTTTTCTTGGAATTTTTCATTTTCAAAGTCAGGAAAGACATTTTATGCCATTTAATTAAAGCAACTGGGAGTTTTCTTTTAAAAGTGCACTAATTCAAACAGAATTAATTCAGGAAAGTCCTATGCCCTTGGTCGTACACAAGATTAGACTACACAGTAACAAGCTCCTAAACTTCATTAATTTCACAGACAATACCTCCCCCCCCCCGCAGAATGGAAAGGAGTGTGCTTTGGGAGGACTACTCAAAATACCGGGAGAAAAAACATTTGGGTTTCTGACCCCACATAAGGTGATGCACATACTTTAATTTCAGCATACCAGTAGACCTACTGAGCTCAGTGATTCAGATCTCTGTGTAATGAAAATCAATGTATTTTCACTGAAGCCTGTGGGGGCAACACCAAATTATTTTGCAAAGGATTTCTTGTGTGATTTCAGTGAACCAAAACATGTAAATTTGCATGACGAGGTCTTTGTTTCCCCTCAAGAAAACTTTTAAATTCTCTGTGTCTCCTTGAACTCACACTCAAAAAAATGGGGTCACTAATATTACAAGCCTTCTAAGGAGGTCCTGAGGTTAATATTTTTATATTGTTTGGCTGTTATTGGATTAAAAGCGCTAAAGTAACATAAAATATTGTTAAAAGATATGGTATCTTACTCTAAACAGCAGGAGTCTGCAGCACTGAAGTAGCAGAGCACCCAACCTATAGAAAAGGAAGTCGCTTGCCTGACAATTATAGTTTGGTTTAAACATTGCTCAGGTGTGTACGTAAAGCAAGTGCTCTTTTCTCTGGGCAAATACAAGAAACAGACAAGCCCCACTAGGGAATCAAATAACCAGGATTACAGTCCCTCTGCACAACACAGGTGACCGTCGCAATGCAAGGCCAGGTTATGAATACGGCACACACGTGGGCTGAGCGGCTTCTCTGCGCCGTTCTCTGCGCAGACCTGTATGTTCACAAAAGCAGCAAAAGGATTGGAAAAGGAAATGGAAGTATGGCTAATACAGCCTGGAGAAACAGCCTGGAGAGAGACCGCCACTGTCCCCATCGCTCTGCAGAGCTGCCAGCGCAGGAGCCACATCCTGCTGCTCACT